ACTCTTTCTGACACACTTTTCTATTAGTTAAAATTTATTGAAAATTATAAAATCATCAATACATAACATGTGAGACCCGCAAAAAAATATCATTTTCAGTAAATTTTAACCGATGAAAATGTGTTCGTAGCATTTTCTTTTACCTTATTCAAAGAAGGGTGAGGCTGAGCCTTGGCACAACAGCAAGGTTGCTGGGTTGCTAGTTTATGACATGGAAATCACGAGTTTGAACCTAGAAACAGTTTGCTTGTGTGGTAAGAAGAGTGTGTATATTTACTCTCCCCAAACCCCACTTGGTCTGAGCCTTGTGCAGAGTTGCTCCTTTTAGAGGAGGGTGGCACGGGCACCAGCCATTTGATTTTATTCTACCCAGTCATCCTCAAATACTTTGCTATTTAACAAATTTAGAATTTGTGATTTTTTTGTCCTGCAATTTTTTGGGTGATGGACTTATCACTTAGTTTTGTGTGATGTGCAGAGTGTTGGTAATCTGAAGCCTATGTGATGGAAATATCAAATGATTCAGGTACTAAGAAATCCAAAAGGCTGACATCTGTCGTCTGGAATCACTTTGAAAGGGTTAGAAAGGCTGACATCTGCTATGCTGTCTGTGTGCATTGTAAAAAGAAACTTAGTGGATCAAGTAACAGTGGAACTACTCATTTGAGAAATCACTTGATGCGATGTCTGAAAAGATCAAACTTTGATGTATCTCAACTGCTTGCGGCAAAGAGAAGGAAGAAAGACAATACCATCAGCCTAGCAAACATTAGTTTTGATGAAGGTCAGAGGAAAGAAGAATATATAAAGCCAACAATCATCAAGTTTGAACAGGAGCATAAAAAAGATGAAATCATTAACTTTGGAAGTAGTAAATTTGATCAGGAAAGGAGTCAACTTGATCTTGCACGCATGATCATATTACATGGATACCCATTGAGCTTGGTTGAACAAGTAGGATTCAAGGTCTTTGTGAAGAACCTCCAGCCTCTCTTTGAATTTCTTCCAAACAGTTCTGTAGAGATTTCTTGTATGGAAATCTACAGGAGGGAGAAGGAGAAAGTATTTGATATGATAAACAGACTACATGGTAGGATTAATCTGTCTATCGAAATGTGGTTGTCAACAGAAAATTCCTCGTATTTGTGTCTATCTGCTCATTATATTGATGAGGAATGGACATTACAGAAGAAAATCCTGAACTTTGTCACACTTGATTCTTCTCATACTGAAGACTTACTTCCAGAAGTGATTATCAAATGTCTCAATGAATGGGATATTGACTGCAAGCTTTTTGCCTTGACACTTGATGATTGTTCCATCGATGATGACATCACTCTTAGAATCAAGGAGCGAGTTTCTGAGAAAAGGCCTTTTTTAAGTACTCGACAATTACTTGACATACGCTCTGCAGCACATCTCATAAATTCCATTGCTCAAGATGCCATGGATGCATTACATGAGGTGATCCAAAAGATTCGAGAGAGCATAAGATATATTAGAAGTTCGCAAGTATTGCAAGGAAAATTTAATGAAATTGCTCAACATGCTAGGATTAACACTCAGAAGCTCTTATTTCTTGATTTTCCAGTTCAGTGGAAGTCTACATATCTCATGCTGGAAACTGCGCTAGAATACCGCAGTGCTTTCTCTCTCTTCCAAGAACATGATCCCTCCTATTCATCAACTCTAACTGATGAGGAGTGGGAATGGGCTAGTTCTGTTACTGGATACTTAAAACTTTTAGTTGAAATTACCAATGTATTTTCAGGCAACAAATTTCCTACAGCTAATATATATTTCCCTGAGATTTGTGATGTCCATATTCAATTAATTGACTGGTGCAGAAGTTCAGATAATTTTCTTAGTCCCATGGCTTTGAAGATGAAAGCCAAATTTGACAAGTACTGGAACAAGTGTAGTTTGGCTTTAGCTGTAGCTGCAGTCCTAGATCCCCGGTTCAAGATGAAGTTGGTTGAGTACTACTACTCCCTAATTTATGGCAGCACTGCTCTGGAGCGTATCAAGGAAGTTTCTGATGGTATCAAAGAGCTTTTTAATGCGTATTCCATCTGTTCAACTATGATTGATCAAGGCTCAGCCTTGCCTGGCAGCAGTTTACCTAGTACTAGTTGTAGTTCTAGAGATAGGTTAAAAGGCTTTGACAGATTCCTTCACGAGACATCACAGAGTCAGTCTATGACTTCAGACTTAGACAAGTATTTAGAGGAACCAATCTTTCCTCGTAATTCGGATTTTAACATATTGAACTGGTGGAAAGTCCACATGCCAAGGTACCCAATTTTGTCTATGATGGCACGTGATGTTCTAGGTACTCCAATGTCAACTCTGGCACCGGAATTGGCATTTAGCACTGGGGGCAGAGTGCTAGATTCTTCTCGTAGTTCACTAAACTCAGATACACGTGAGGCTTTAATATGCACTCAAGATTGGCTCAGAAATGAATCTGGAGGTACCTAGTTATCTTCTGCCTTTTTCCACCTGTAGAATAATGTTGATTTATTGCTTATTCTGATGCATTATTTTTACTCTGACTCTTATCAGATATACTAAATCCATCCCCAATCCACTCTGCTGTACCTCTTCTCATCGAATGAAGTTACTTTTTCAAGGTATGCTTCTGTAAAACTTGTGTCATGTTCCTAATCTCCCCGCATTTCATTGTTGAGCATTTTGCTTTCTACTTATTTTTGGTATGTGCTTGTGTTTCAAGGGTGATGGGTCGGTTACCAGTTCATGAATAATCATTACCATTTTTTTAATAATGTCAGGTCTTATTGAAGAAGCATCTTAGAATTCTCAAGTTTTCCTTTGTTCCCTGTGTCATTTATAGCTGGGAAGTGATCTAGCTTGCAAATATTCTGTGAAGATGCACTTGTATATTCTTTAGAACAACAATGTAGATTTTTTTTTTTAAATTTATATTTATAGATCTCTTTTCCGTTAGATGTTTTCATTGGACTAGCATTAGGCTGAATCTGATTTTGTATAGAGGGTTGCATGCCCTTGATATCAAAATCGCTCCTTGCCTGAAAGTTTTCTTTTGCTTCACTGTTCATACAATAAGGTTGCACAAAATGAATGATCTTAACGAATGAAGATCTTCATGGTGGCATGGTTTTAACTGTCATTACATCCCCTCTATCAAGTGAAGATTTTAATTTATCTACAATTTACACCAAAACTTAGATCATATTGTCATTAAATTTCCATATCAAACAATTACATATAGGTATTCTTTCTAATATTAAATAAATAGCCTACATGCACATAATGTTTTAGAAATTGTAGAAGAATGTTCACGTGTCACTGTTTTGAAGGCTTAACTAAAATAAGTGTAAAAAATTTGGTTAACTAAAATAAGTGTAAAAAATTTGATAATTTATTATTATTATTATACTGTTTTCATTAGAACATGTAAATAAACCGGACTATTCATTTAACTTTCAAGTATAATCTAAATCATTTACTCATTTAGTATAACACTAACGGGCAACAATTTTTCAATTTTTCAATTTTTCACTTCCGTAATTTTCTTTCCACAAAAAAGTTTGAAGGAATAGAATCAATTGATTTATGCAATTTTCTTCACAAAATAGTTTGAAGGAATAGAATTAGTTGATCCAAGAAAATTTGTTATTAGAAAAAATATCAATGTGCTGGTGTTTTTAGGAACCATAATGGGCAATGGTTAGGTGGATTTCAAAGGAACCTTTTATCATCAAACTCTATAGTAGCTGAGCTTTGGGGTGTGCTTTCAGCTCTTCAAATGGCTCAGTCCAATAATATGAATTTTGTTTGGTTTGAATGTGACTATCTGGTTGCTGTCAATCTTATTCGCTAGGGATGCAACACTAATCATCCTCTCATTGGAAAAAGAATAAGTCTTGGACTATCAAAATTTCAGATGCCTATTGTGAGGTGAACTTGTTTGCTGATTGCTTAGCCAATATGGCACATGATACTGATGTTGGATTCCATACTATTACGAGCCTTTCTCTCCCTAGATTTGCTACATTTTAGTTTTGTTTATTGTGGGCCTCCGACCGTCTTAAAACTATCGAACAAAAGTAAAACTATCGTTGGAATTATAGTCGGACTTGGCATTGTGTTCAGTCCACCCAACTTTGGGTTGGTTTAGGGTGTATTTTGTGAGGGTTTAGACTAGAGACTAGAGTCACTTGCATCTTATATATATAAAATCATATCACTTAAAATTTAGTTCAAATTTTTTTTTGTCTTTTATTTTATCATAAAAAATTATTTTGAACATTTGCCTTTTAAAAGGTTCATTTTGTTCTTTTAATTTTTAATTTTGTACTCTTTAAACACCTTTTAAATTTATTCAAAATATGGAATTTGTTTTATCATATTAATTAACTACATGTAAACTATGCAATTAAATTAATATCTGAACTAAGAAAGTCCACCACGACAAAAATTACTTGAAAGGTGAGTTTCAAACAACTAAATTTTAATATTAGATTTTTACTGATTATTTGTGGGACTTCTCACATTTCTATATTTTACTGATTTTTATTCAAAGATTGATTAGATTATATATTTTTCATATAAGTGAAGATAGTGAAACTCTTGAATTAATAAAAGAAAGTTTTAAATTATATCCTATTTCTATATTTTATTTTCTATATGAACAATATTTTTTTATCCTTGTCATTAGTTATCTGGTAAATTTGTTAACTTTAGGTAATAAAATTTTTTGACTTAGTGATTGAAGGTTGTCTTGGGATACGGGAGTCAACCCAGTGCTCTCATATTTAATTGTCATCTGTTTTAAAATAATGTTATTTATATTAAAATAATATTTAGTCAATAAAAATTATACAATATCATTAAAATACTATATGAATCATGTTTATAAATAAAAATTGGTACATTAGTTGCTTTAACACTATCACAAAATCAAAATTAAGACCGTATAATTATAAGAAATTTAAAAAGATGCTTTTATCATACATAGTTGTTGAGAGTAATTTTGGTGGTAGAGACCCTCCCCCTTTTTTGTTTTTTTTTTTTTTTTTTTTTTTTTT